GTCTTACAGATGGTAAACAAAGCTGCCTATCTGGCTGCCGGGAACAGAACTGCAGTCAGGTCACAGCAGCACCATAAAGTACTGTCACACATTCACAGGATAAGCAGTGCTTGGAATGTGCTCGGGAGCAAATTCCATAGCCCATTAAATCAGGATGCCTTCCTGTGAAACCACTCACCATCTTTGCTTCACAGATGCTTTTACACAGTGCCAGTGACTACATACATACAAGTCAACACATATTTCAAAGGCTTCGAACTAAAAATCATTGAATCTAGGATCAAAATTAACATGTCTATTTCTCCTCCCTGCACCCAAAACTGGAGAAATAAAAAGCCTAATAAATGTAAATCTGTAAATCTATAGCCAAGGCCTTTACAGAAGAAAGAAGCAGAAACCTTCTGCCCAAGGATTTTAGCTGATATCATACATTACGATGGTGCCAGTTTTGCAATAACATCACTCTAAAGTCTAAATTCCTCAGGGCAGCACAAGCATCTTGGGCCAAACAGACCTTGCTTTTAGGCACATGCCCCCTTTGGTGTCTGATAACARGCATAAGCCTCCAGATCCCATTGGAATAAAACATTGCTTGAGAAAGATTCAAATCATCTTTAGGCTGGTCTCATTTTGCAGATGGAGGTCCTTTCAGATTACCAACACCACAGGGATCTTATGCTGCACTGCAGAAACACCAGAGTAAGACTAAGAAAGCTAGCAGACAAATTATTTGCAGCAAGACTGATACTCGAGTTCTTAATTTCTGTAGTTCAACCAACTCTATTACACAAGGAAAAAGCCTGAAGTTCCACCTCATCAGCTCTCTACACCTGATTAATCCAAATCCGTCTAACAGCACTACACTCGCAGCTCAGTAAACAGATGCGCTTGCAGGCACTACAGCGTCAGTGAATACAGCAGGCAGGTTCTCAAGAAAATCCACATAAGAGACTAATCAATTTAACTGTTCTTTCAGCCAGAACATGCWCCTATTGCTACAGATTGTCAGAATTCACATTTAAATTCATTACATCCACTCCTGCATTCAACACACCAGAGGTTTTTTTATTACCAGTTTCTCAAGCACTGAAACATGCTTAGTTTCCCTTCAAAATAGATACAAGATGATTTTAGCATCATATTACAGAGGAGAAGAGAGAAAAATATCTAGAGAATTCACCTCTCAGACAAATATCTTCAATACAGTGTGCTTAAAGAGAGCTAAAGGAACTCCCCAAACCCAGGCACCACAGACCAGAATAAGAATGGAAAATCAAAACACAAACTCTAAAACAAATTGTGTCCAGCTATTAGGAACAAGATGACTAACAAATTCAGAGCCCGAGAGGGAAGAAAAACTACACTGTGACTCTGAAAAAAAGCAACCAACCATGCCTCTACCACATAGCTGAATGAAGAAAAAGATGGCCAGTGATAAGAGATGCAAGGGAGCAGCTTTTCTCCTTAGTTAAACCCACCTCCCCTTGTCACACCAAAAACTTGCCCCCAGCACCTGAGTCTCTCCTCAGCATAGTAGATTATTAACTATATTAAATTAACTGTGAGTGATGCTAGCTGGCCTTTTTCTCATTCTTTCAGTCTGCAGTAATCATCTCAGCAATGTCTCAAAGACCCTTGAAGTTACTTGTCACACTTCTGTCACTTAACACCAGTARAAATGATGGCAACTACAAAGTAAGTGTCTGGTTTTTGGGGCTACATCCATTCTCCAAAAGGTATTCACAGTGAATACAGCCACAACATGGAGAAAATGCAGCAAGATGAATCTAATGCACCCTGAAAGGAGTAAGAAAGCCAATGCAATGTGGAAATAAATCAGGCATGATCCTTCCTTGCCTTTTGTCCCAGGAGGTTTTGATTCCCTCCTCCAAAGTTGCCAGCTTTTGGGATGCCACATTGATAATAATCGAGAAACACTCCAATTTTTTTTTTTAACATTCAGTGTTCCAATATGCCTGATGAAGATTCATCAACCACCCCTCTGGTACTCTGCCTGTGGCACTTTTCCTGGCTTTATCCTTGCATCATTAGAGCTAACCCAAGAGTAAGCAAAACTAAGCAGCTCAAACCAGTCKTTATTTACATGCTCAGGGTGGAATAAATAAGCAAAGGCACGTGGTTACAGAAACATCACCTTGCTTAGAGCAAACTGTGACAAGGTCCTGAAGTCCCCTGACAGTAAATCACCTTCTGGTRGGATGACAGGTTTTCTTCCACCGGTCTTCCACACAGTCATTGTATGACTCTCCACATGCCTGGCTAGGGCTGAGGAACAGGATTCCTCCCYCAGAAGCACATGATCAAGAAAGAGATAAAGACTTTTTTACCGCAAGTGCATGCGTGATCGACCGGCCAGGCCACTGTCACATGGCAGGAGGAGCTTAAACCACCATGGGAGGGAAACGTGTCCTGGCCGGCTGCAGGGACCTGCCTGGGGTCGGGTRAGCCCACTCGGCACCCGGGTCTCTCTTCCCACCCTTGCTGCGGTGGGAGCCGAGGGGCGCTGCAGGTGTGAGGCTGAGCACAGTGGGCAGCGCTGGGCCAAGCGCTCGAGTGCAGGAAGACTGGCCGCCACCGCGATTTCTGAGCTGAGTCCCCACCTGATAAAGGAGAGCAAACCGGAAAGGCTGGGATCGGGGAAAAACCCTAAAAACCCCCAGTCCTGGCCCTGTGTTTGCTCTTCTTCTTGCCCAAATCCCCTGCCGTGGCACCGTGATCTTTCTCTGGGTTCTGCCCAGGATGAGCAACCTCACGGCTAATCCCGGGACAARCACGCACTGACAAACAGAGCTCACTTTATACACAATGCTTACAGCGTATATTTTATTACTCTTCACTGCTTCATGGCTGTGAACATCCTTGTTATAAACACATATTACAGTGTCAGCTTTCACAGATATTAAGATGGGTGCTATGTGTACAATGTTGCCTTTTTTGCATAAGTAGTTTAGTTACACAAACATAACGGTGAAATAATCACTGGTGGTTTTGTTTTTATTTTTTAACTCAGATATAGCTGTAATATAGCTGATGYTATTTTAGGGTACTTGTGGTTAACTTGCAATAACTGAAGTGTTATGGCTTGTGACTTAAACATTTCCATAAAGGACTCTTTTCATATTATAGCAAAACTAKACAAAAGCTGCACAGAGAGCCACTAAGACTTTGAATGGGGCCCTGGCTGCAGCTGCACTGATCAAAAATRTAAGGAGAGAAGAATACATGAGAGAAGGATCACAGCGTAGCATCTCTGGGGTAGAGGCCATAGCCCCAAGGCTGTGGGCTGCCAAATCAGCACAAATCCTCACACCCAAGGGTAGCGGGGGAAGGAAGAGAGACTTTAGAATGTGTAGTGGAGAAGCCATTTGGTCAAAAGAGCTCGTGGAACGTCCGTCCTCTGCTRCACAAAGGAACCTARCTGATGGGACCCCCARCCTTCAGACAAGCATATCTACATGGACAGCCCAGGGGTGTTGTGACCCATCAGGGGCCCCTGCTACGGACACTTCCCTATCAACGACCATCTGCTAAAACTATGGAATAAGGGATCACACATACGCGACCCTAGGAACATAAACCTCATCACTGCTTATGCCTGAAAAAGGCTAGAAATAAAACTTCATAGACTGGTGTCTATAGAGCAGGTATTTGTTTATTGCAGCACTGGTATAGTGCTGGAGGTGAGGGGGATTTCTTCTCCTAACTCACCTGCCTTTGCTTAAAATTGGCATGTATTTATACATGTGTATTTATACAGTAAGTATGGTGTAATATTATCATTGTCACTAGGCTTACTACTATATATGGGTACGGAAATACAAGATATTACAGTTTTGCAAGTATGCTTCTGTCATCTTCAATTCATGGTGGTCATGGGTATTTCCCACTAATGAGAGACTGTCTCCTTCATTATGATGGACTTTTTACTTTTGTCTTTAGGGCATGTGTAGTTGTGATGTTTATGTTTTTTTCTAGTCTTCTAGGTCTTCATATTTCATTTTTTAGCTCACTGTCTTGTCCATCAGCTAAKTTCTCRTTAGTGCTCTCTACTGTTCTTCTATATAGCATCTACTTTGTCTACTTCTATAGAACTTTTTTGATTTATGCTTCTTGGTAATTTCACTTGGTCTAGGCACTAATCTAGCTGGCTAGATTACACCCAGCTGGTACACTATATGTTGCTAATACTCTATATAAAAGCTTATAACAATATATGAAAAAGCTATTATTGATAATATATTGAAAGCTATTACATTATATATTGATAATATGTAAAACGGTTATATAAAGTTTTCAATCAATAAGCCTCATAAACATCTTGTAACTTTGAYTTAAACCGTAAGTATCACTGCACATGCCCTAAAAAGGCGGATCCATGTTAAACAGTTCCTGGAAAAATCTGAATATGCATAAATGCCTATGAATAAGCATTAAGCTGATGCAACACGGAAAGTATTTAAAGAGGTCTCTGTCATATCAGGTGTGCCTCTGGCAGATGGCCAAGCACCCGGCGTCCCCTCGGGCACCCTATCCTTTTGCTTTCTGTCCCCTATTGTCATTTATTAAACTTTTAAATTTTAACAGGAGAGTGAACTTCGTTTTTCACAGTCTTCAAGGGMGAGCGGCAGGTTCGTGCCTTTGTGCGAAGCTCCAGCACCGTAATGCGTTTACTAAAACCAAACGCGAGCCTGGTAGCGAATGGCCACGGCCGCCCGGTGACACCGCGCCCGGGCCCGCCCGGTGTGTCCGCGGCTCCTCCTGCCCGCCCCGGTGACACCGCGCCCGGGCCCGCCCGGTGTGTCCGCGGCTCCTCCTGCCCGCCCCGGTGACACCGCGCCCGGGCCCGCCCGGTGTG